TCTACTAGTTTGCCTATATTTTGAGCAACAGTTTAACAGAAAAGGCCTTCTCAAGAGGTTTTAAGAAGTCGGTGGAGAAAAATTTTTCTCTAATTTTGTGAGAGAAAACTTTTTTTAAATTTTGTTTAATTAATTTTTTGTTTGTGACATTCGAATAAAGTTAACATTCATATCATATTCAGTCCTCAGTGTTAATTTACCAATACGGGGCACTGTTTCAAATCTGCAACATCCCAGAATTCATTGCATTTGAAGGTCTCCCCTTTAAAAAAAAAAGTCTGAATTGTATTTTACTACCCCATATGATCATTTTCTCCAAATATCAGATTTTTCCCGCAACTACAACTTAATTTGAGCCTGAGAGGGTTAACAGCACCAGGGTAATACAGTGCGATTTAAAACTAATGTAAACAGCTGATGATTTCAATGGATGTATTGTATAACTATCTTCTGATGGTTTTTTTCCCCTCACTACCTCCTGTTTTTTTATATAAATACATTTGGTCATAATTGTAGCTTCTCTGGCTAGCTAAAGTTAGCTAATTTGAAGTAATGGTTCATTCTGGGCATCAAACAATTAGAAATCAAAATATAGTCTGGTTGCTACTAAGCGAACGGTTTATATGCACACACATGACTTTATGCCAAAGTAAATGGTTATAGCCTGAAGATCCATCAGTAGGAGCAAGACCAGAGGAACGGCATAATCGAAATTGCTCTCCAGAACATAATTCAGCTAAGCTTGTATCATACAGTTTCTATTTGCTGATTATATAAGTAAATGACACTGCTGTAAACTAGTGTTTCAATTGAAGTAAAATATTTTTTGCAATAATGAAGAATTATACTCACTACCTTCAATCTTACACAGGTTCAAGCCTTTGTTAAGTGTTCCAGTTTCACAAATAGCTTCATCTCATTACAATACAGAAGAAAAGGGTCACAGTGAATAACCTATCTGCTTCATCAGCCTGACACACATTAGACATCCTATATGGCCTAGAAAAATACTTGGCACAAAGAGATGCTGTCAGCAGCATTTTGCAATGAAGACAGGAATGTTATGGAGGGTATAATAAACATCCAAAGAATAAGGACATAAAAAGTAAATACACATTTCCCATCATCATAAAACTTTAATAACTAATAGTAAAACTAGAAAAAACATGCAAACAGGAAATTAGAAAGGTTCTGCAAGCAAGACATGATTAATTTAAACAAATTCACAGTTCAGCATCAACCTGTTGAGGCTGCATTTCCACATCATTTCCTTTTCTAACGCTGTGATACAAACTAAAGAATCTTGGCCCAGAAGGGAAATGTGATGACCTTTTAGTGAGATGACACATAGCAGGTGGTTTGCTTAAAAATTTCATCTTTTTTCCCTCCTCACATATATAAGACCTATGATGCCCTTCCCCCATAATACATCACAGATATAACGGAGAAAAAAATAATAATTTTTGCTAAAATGCACCATGACTTTAGCAGTTACAACAGATATATGTCAAATAAAATCTTGTTTTAAGTAGTTTTAGAAGGTTAATATATCATTGTCCACACATTTGACAGATGGGGGAAAATACATTACCAATATCCTACAGGAAAACACTGTGATGTGTATTTTAAGAAGGTATTTGAAATATAACAGAGTTTGATATGTACAGTGAAATTTTATGCTGAATGTACTAATTATGTTAGGTCTGTGGGATCTTTGTCAAATGCAGCCACGAACAACACAAAACCCACTCTGTTGCAATCGCCCAGCATTAGCAATTCTAACTACGACCAATGAAGCACCACAGTGAGAGACAGGCACACAGCACACTTCACAAAGAGCTATTGTGATGACCCTCATCGACTCAAGTACACCACGCAGACAGAAAACGTAGAGCACAGTGAGTACGTATGAACACACTGAAATAGTCACCAAGATGAGGACAGGCTGCACCAAAAGGTAATGATAAAAGCTGAGAAACTTCAGTAGTCTTGCTTTTAGAATATGAATACATGTGGGTGTCAAATACCTGCGTTTAAATCTTGACATCAGATAAGTTCAATTCATCTGCTGATTGGAAATGAGCCAGGACATAGTGGGCGTATCAATGCCTCAGCTGGTGATTTTCACCAAGCCAGCTTTGTGTTTTAATTAAAAAGAACAGTCTCCATGTCTATACCAACAGTTAATGGATCATTTAATTCCAGATTTTGATCAGGGTATAAAAATACAAACTAACAAGAGTTTTGCTAAATTGCATTAACCAACACAAATCTCCTTTATTCTTATACAACTGCTCCATGTACCTTGCACACAGTTGTAATGACCAAAACACCCTCTACATCTGGGGAGGGGGGGGCCTTTTTGATGTCCACCGATCTTCAAAGCTGTAAGATGTAGCAAGGGACCAAAGAGAGAGGCCAAGCAAATGTGTTCAAGTGGCTCCTGCACACAAATAATAAGACTAAAGTCAGTACATAACAAACACTCCAAAAATAATATTTTAACAAACCATATTTAAAAAAAATATATATATATCAACAGAATCAGAACTAGTAGCAAAACTGTATAATGATGAAAACATGTGTGGTGTGGGTTAGAATTATTATTTTGGAATAACTTATGCCCCTAAATTTGTATTGAAACCTGAGACTTTCAACAGTATTTTTATTTTACTGAGAGGGCTTAATAGGGATTAATAAAACAGGGGTTTTTTTTGGCCATTAGTAAAACTCCTGGGAATTTCAACTGCATAAAAAGAGATGTAAAAATAACCAACAACATGGTATGTACTCCATAGCCTTGCATGGTGTAATAGAGTATTGAAGGCACAGACTATAGTTACATATCAACAATAAGCAAATATATATATGTATTACTAATGCATGTATAGTCCTTACATGATTTTTCACTTAAATTATGTATTACAAGACTTAAAAAATGTGCTTTCAACCTGCACATTTTTATATATTGTTTACATATCAGGATAAATAATCTAATATTACATTTTACTATATTTAAATTCTATGCTATTGTATTTAGCTCGATAATTAAATGGTGATAAAAAGAAGAAACATCGTAAATGAGAAAATGTTTAAATGATAAACTGATATTTAGGTTGATTTATAAAAATCCACATATATGTTTTACCTTCTTAATACAAAACTTCATACGTATTTGAGTTCTCGAGTATCTAAAGCTGTCTGACAAGTACAGAATAAAAAAGGCTGATCTCCAACATTAATAACGACGGTATTAATTTTCACCCCACGGTGGCAAACCATGGGACAACATCTTCGGCTCAGAGAAAGTATCATGTGTCAGAGCCAGAGGAGGGAGGGGGCAGCGGATTTTTAACTTCACTTACATTATCAAAATTACTGGACTTCTTCAAACTAATTATTTAAATCTCAACGTTTAAGTGTTCAACTTAAAACACGATCGAAGTCGGGCAAATAACGTTCAAAGTAATAAAATAAACTCCTGACATTTTGTACCGTAGTTGGTTTCGAAAGGAAGGGTGTGGCTATTAGTTTAAAAAAAAACCAACATTGAGGATTTAACACCATTTAACAATCCCCAGATTACAGAAACAAAAATAAACACAATCCAAATCGTGATTAAACGCAAAGTCTAACATTTGGTGAATATAAACTACAAGTAGCTAGCCTGGAAAAAGTTTGACAACTTATTTACTAGCATTTAGTTAGCACATTCAGGGAAATGCTAACCAACGCCGTTGATTTGTAGCCATAACAAATTTAAAAGGAAATATAGTGGAAAGCTTTCAATGTGGTTATTAGCTTTATTCAGACCTGCCTAGAGAAAATTAAAGCTCGTAGTTAGTTGGTATATGGCTCGCGGTTAAGGTTCACACCACTTTTTAGCTACATCCGAGCGCTAACTAGCTAGCCAGTTAGCATTACTCTCTACTCTGAAACTATCGGCTTTCCTAAAAAGTTTAAACACTCGGCCTTTAACGTTTAACATCAATACGAGTATAAACCAATATAAGAACGGCGGTCACATTGGCACGATTAATTGATGTTACATGAACATAAAACATAGTTTATGTCGAGAACTCGCCATTTACTCACTAGCTCTCCTGTTAGCTGGTTGTATAAAAGTTAGCCTAGCCAAGCTATATGTTACACACCAGCTTCCTTATTACTGGGCACATAAATACTAGATAATACAAATTCGGTAACAAATAATTGCAAATACAATAACTTTTGTTCCAAATAACACACCCGTTGAATGATTGGCCATGAAATTAGGATTTGTTTTAGAAATGTACCAGCTTTCAAGAGACTTACCGTGTTCCGCTATGTGTGTGTGTCTGTGTGTGTGTGTGTCAAATCAGACCGTGGATGTGCGGAGTCAGGGAGTCCCGAGTGAGGCTGCTGATTGGTGGAAAATCAGCCAATCAGGACGATCCAAGTTACGGCAGATTGATATTCTTGACTTGAAATTAATAAACCTAAAATATAATGCGTTGCAGGATCAAAGTATGGAGGACCAACTCTGCCATATTTAAAAATAAATACAGGAATAAATAAATGCTCAATAAATAAATAAGCATATAATTAATTGTCCCCCAAAATACAATAAATAATTAAATGTAGGTGGAAATGCAATTATACAGTTAATTAGTTTCTTTATTTATTCACCTTTGTAATAATTACATTATTTATTTATTTGCTGTTATAATCTTCAACTTTATTTATTTATTACTTAGTTTTTAAGTATTTATTTATGTGCATGATATAATATTTTTGTCTGTTTTATTCTTCTTTTGTATTTTTTTTACCCTCTTTATTTCTTCACACAAAAAGCAAATGAACATTTGCCAAATAAAACATATCTATTTATTGAGCATTTATTTATGCATTTCTGTATTTATTTTTAAATATGGCAGAGTTGGTCCTCCACATATAAAAACCTGGAACCTTTCTTCATTTAAACGCCTTAGCTACGCCATTATAGTAAACCAGAACATTAGCAAAAAAGGGACGGATATGTAGTTTTATACATTTTAATCTGTTTCTCATCCAAAATTCATGGATTTTTATTTTTTTTTTACCTCAGAATAGCACAGGTCATCATGCTCCAAATTGGATCTATGGTTCTTCATTTTCCATCAAACTTCTATTGAAGAAACAGTTTGATTCTACTTAACCAAAAAAAATGCTTCATATGTTTTAAAGAATAAAACAAGTTATGTAATCTGTTTTCTTGAGTTTAACCATTAAACTACAGAAAAACTATTATGGTAGGTTTTCCTAAGAGTTGAACAGCACTCTTTTTCAAAACTGAACGCGGATTTTGCATCTCTGACTAAATTTATGTAGAAGGAAAAATGACCAAAAACGGACCTTTTGATTGTATCATTTCTGGATCTTTACCTTAAGTGGGAAGATTAGCAAGGAGGGGCAATAATCTTTGAAGCATGCAAGAGCCTCATGGTAACTCTGGAGGAGCTGCAGACATCCGCAGCTTAGGTGGGAAATCTTTTGACATGAGTTGTGAAATTCTGAAATATGGCCTTTAAGGAAGAGTGGCAAGAAGAGAGCCACAGGAAATATATTTATGAGAGGGTCTCTGGTCAGTGAGATATACAAAAATATGGACAAAAAAAGTAATGAAAAACAAAGACCCTCAAAAACGCTTTGATCTATTTAAATCAATTCAATTCAGTTTATTTATATAGCGCCTATTCACAACACATGTCATCTCAAGGCACTTTACAGATCATACAGTCAAATTGATTCAAAGTTTTCTATCTATGGAAAACCAGTTGATTGCATCGACTCATTGGCTCAAATACAATCCCTCACACTGAGCATGCTTGTAGCGACAGTGGAGAGGAAAAACTCCCTTTTAACAGGAAGAAACCTCCAGCAGAACCAGGCTCTGGGATCTAAATGGATAAGCAGTTATTCTCTCTCATTCTCTACCCCAAGGCTAATTCCAGCAGCTCATATCCAGGATCTAGTTCTTCAAATCATGAATTTGAAGAACTAGCTGATCAATAGAGTTGAGGGTTGGAATGTAGATGGGCTTGTAAATCAAGAACTTGGCTCTATGTTCAACTCTTTTTTGACTATCCTCATTGCTGCAGAATTATAACCTATCTACAAACCTAATCCTTCTATTACATTGTCATTCCCAAAGAGTGCAAGTCTAAGACAAATACTATTTTATCCATGTTTCTGCCTTCTTCTTACATAATTTCCATTTGTCTTTGAATTATATGTCTTACATTGTCAATTGTCCAGAGTTTGTCCTACTTTGAACAGCTTTCTGTGTTTTTCTCTAATCACTTGATTTCCCAGTTTTATATACAGAGTCCTGCCACTCCTTGTGGTTTGTAAATGCCAGAGTCTATAAGTCATACATCTGTGTGACATCATGTGTAGAGATTTATTTTCCGATGGGCTTCCTTCTGTTCTCTGTGGCGACTGTGTTTGGTCCATTGACTGAATGGATCGAATGAGTTCGCCTTAAAGCATTTCTTTCTTATTACACTTGCTAAATATGGAAGTTGGATTTATCACTGAGGCTGCTCATATTCTTATGACTGCAGTATATTATTAGATGCTCCGCAGAAGGTGTTGCCATGCTTTCAAAACAAAGTGTTCCTTTCTTATTTAAGGACAATGAAAAAGGAACAGCTCCTGTCATTAAACAGATATACAGAAGATACCTACAACATAACCAGTGTCACACTACCACTAACTAGAAATTATTCAACTGGATGTTTATATAAACCAGGGCAAATGCAAAATAGCAAAATTAAGAGATTTTAATTTATTAAGGGAAAAAACAACAACAATTTAATCCAGATTCCTTCTGTGGGAAGTGGTGAGCTATAGCTCTTGGAGACCAGAGTGTTTGTGTCCAGGAGAAGGTGCAAGATAACTGGTTGCTTGGAAAAAATCCTCAAATTACTTTTAAGTCGGAGCTCACTGCTTTTAAGGGACTGGATTAGAGGTCGACTTTTTCCTTTGTGGCAAATTAAAGGGATATTTTACTTCCTGTGTGCAAAACTAGTTTATCTTTTCAGTCTAAGTGGCTGTGCCATCCTGAGCAGCAGCAACTCTCATTTCAGTATAATAAACAATGAGTGTCTTACATCACTTCAGAGGAACTTTGGTCCTGCATTTCCATTGGCATTAAGTCAGTTTTTTTACTAGGCCACTTTAAACTTTTCATTTGAATTGATGATGTGCTTTAGATCATTTTCCTGCAGCAATATCAGAATCAGAATTACTTTATTAATCCCTTGCGGGAAGCTATTTTCCTGCAGGGCAACCATTTACAGAAGAGAGAAAAATAAGATTGTATACAGAGAAGATATAAGAATAAAACAAGGATAATAAAATAATATAAGGATCACAATATACAATCGACATTACTTACCATTTACATTGCTGCTAATAACAGAAATAACTGATGGTTGGACATTCCTCTTCAGGTTTTTCTGTCAGAAAGCACACTTCACTTCACTTTAGATCTGATGCACACATCAACTACATCGGCTAAGCAGAGTTTGATCAACCTGCAGGTGGTGCATAGAGTTCACTATACTAATGTCAGGCTGGAATCTAAATGATAGTTAAATTATCCCCCAGATGTAGGAGTCAGCCAGCAGACCTACAGTAGTGCATATGTTCTAGCTGTCTCAGAACCTCTCAACCTTTTAGAAACCATATTTAAAGAGATAAGATCTCCCAGTTAGAACCTGACCAGACCTGTGCCCACTTTGGTCTAACACCAGAGGAATATTGGGCTGTGTTGCCAACCGAAGCCTATCCAGGAATAGCCTTTACCATACTCCTTCATAGACATTTGGTTCTGTTCAGATAGAAACAGAAAGTTACTTCATCCTTTTTTCATTGGGTCAGGGATGTTAAACATTTTCAAATTTGGAAAATATAAACTCAAAGGATCCTGTCAGTGTTTTGTTAAAGTATGGAGGGCGTTTCTCGACTTCTTTAACACCATACAGGAGCCTTTTGACAACAGATAAGACGGAAATCATAAACAACTGATTAAGGCCTTCCTGTTTTGTCATTCTTATTTTTTATCTTTTCTTTTTCTTATTCCTCATGTATGACATATCCTATAAACTTATGTTAATGTATCTGCTGAACATTGTACTTCTATGTTTTGGAGATTAATGTGCAAACCGATGATGCATCATATCTTCTTTTATTTTCCATCTCTCTGTGTTAATACTAGTAAAAACTAATGAAAACAGATAGAAAGAAAGAAACAAACAAACCAAGCTGACTACAGTGTTCCTTCTGTTACTGCAAGTGGTCCAACTCCAGAAGTGGCAAAGCAACCCCAGAGCATCACACTGCCACTACTTGGTTGGACTGTTGGTAAAATAATCTCTTATAAAGTTTATCTCATCATTCCATAAAAATTTTTTGTAAAACTCTTTTGGATTGTAAATATTTTTTTCTTTTTTGGCAGATGTGGGATAGGTTTTTAATGTTGTTTTTCATTCTTTAATTTTTTGTGGATGTAATTCTTCTTCCACTTCTTGTTGCTTAACCATGACCTCTGACCTTAACTCAAGCAAGACAGGCCCACAGTGCTTTAGCTGTTCTGTATTATCCTAGATGATTTATTGACAGGCTCCTGGAGGGATTTTTGTAGAATGGAAACCCTATGATAACCGTAGGAATGGTTTTCTAATCCCTTAAAGGATGCCATATCAGTGACTTTGTTTCTCATCTGCTGGGGGATGTAGTGTTACATTTAGAGATATATTACCTCATGTTCTCAGTGAGGTTCCCGTGAATCAGAAGATGTGGTTTATTTTATAATTTTGTTCTTATTGCCACATTGCCTGACAGGACAGTGTTAAAAAAAAAAAGATGTTGTTCATACCGTTCATTCATGATTATAAAAAATAGGGACTCATTCAAGCCCTTTCAATTTTGCGTGAAGCTATGAAAGTACCCTACAGAACATTCCAGATCAATGTAAGTTATCTGTATTTTTGGCTTTACCCCCTTCGTAATCGCTTAAATAGTAAAACATTTATTCTTTATTGAAAATAATTTGCCCTTACATTATCTGAGACATGATATGCACTTAATGCATTTATCTTAGTATTTCATAGATTGTATATCTTTGTTTTTTTATTTTCTTTAAAGATTATTCATAACAAAAACATTTAAGCTTGGCTTTATATTTGTCTAGAATTTTTAGTAATATGGAAATTTATACATCTAAATAATATTCATACCGAACTGCAAGAATAACTTTCACTGTAAACATTTTTAGCGCTCTTTGCAACATAGCTCAAGCCCTGCATAAAAGTAACTGGTTGCAGAGCATTTTATGTAAGGGTACCAAAGTAAAGGGG